ATAGGAATTATTTCTTTTGTACTTTGTACATTGCAGCTCGACAGTGCTCCTACCGGAGCGGTCTCCTACCCGGAAGGAGCCACCTTCACCTGTAACCCTGGATACGTACTGAACGGCATTCCTAACCCTACGTGCCAAGCCGACGGAACGTGGAGTCATCCTGTTCCAACATGCACACTTAAGATTAATCTGGCACTAGTATACACAAGAAATTCCTCGCAAGATAAATAAATCATTTAACGGCCATTTAGCGGTGAGGATATCAGAAGTGTCGTCCCTTTCAGAATTTAAGCGCTGGCAAACAGTACGGTTTGTGGAGTCAAGAATATAATTCAATACACAGTCATTTAGAACACAAGATGCTTCGTTTGCAGGTTGTTGTGTGTCCAATTATCTCCTAGACGTACGTACGTGTCCTACTCAGCAAAAGGCACATATAAGATATTGTGTTGTCTTTTCTAGCTAGATGCTTTATAGGAATTATTACTTTTTGTACTTTACATTGCAGCGGTCCAATGTCCGGCTCGGGCGGCCCCAGCTAACGGAACAGTGAGTCCTACCGGAGCGGTCTCCTACCCGAACGGGGTCACCTTCACCTGTAACTCGGGATATGCACTAAACGGCATTCCTTATCCGACGTGCCGAGATGACGGAACGTGGAGTCATCCTGTTCCAACATGCACACGTAAGATGCGTTTGATACTGTGGAAAGCTGAAATTTCTTGCAAACCGTTAGTGACGAGAACATACGACCGCAGATATTACGATTTTACCATTTCAGTTTGACAATGTCCGACGCTTACGTTACTAGGCAGACATTCGCCAAACAGATCTAGTAAGAGAAAATTAAAAGCCAGGATCACGTAATGTTTCAGTATTAAAACATGATTAACAGTTATAGTTTTGTATATCTTTAGAATAATTCCAATAAGGTGAATGATGGAAATTATTCTCATATTAATTAAGCAAATTAGATCATCATTTGCATAATTAGTACAAATGTATCTGTTGATGTTCCACCTGCCATACATTAAATATATCACATAAAAACATACACATAAAAGTGCTACTGCGTAAAGCACTGTAATTATAGTATTTCCCTTTATTTATGCAAATTATGTCTTTATTTGCATAATTTACGTTTAATTATGTACATCTCTGTCCAAGTTATCTACGAACCAAAAATGATGAAAATACGTTGTTTCTTTCTGGACTTATCCGCTTTAAAAGATTTCGCCAGAAAGTCCACTCCAGTTCCAGAGCAACCAGCTAGGGGGGCAAAACCCACAGCACTGACAGAAAAAGCCATCTGTTACTAAAAAGTCAATTCCGTATCATGTTCAGGCCAAAAGATACGAAAACGGGAAATTCTGCTGCAGTACCAAGGTCAGCCACCAGGAGAACCCACCAACATACCAAATATCATCACAATCCATTAAGGCCTTCTTAAGTTATGCTGACAAAGTAGGGGAAATACGACACACAGACAGACAGACACGCACAGACAGACACGCAAAAAATACTTCCATTTTTCATGGAGGCAACTAGGGTTACTGACCAAGTGAACCATTGCAGCGGTCCAATGTCCGGCTCGGGCGGCCCCAGCTAACGGAGCGGTGACTCCTACCGGAGCGGTCTCCTACCCGAACGGGGTCACCTTCAGCTGTAACTCGGGGTACGTACTGAACGGCGTTGCTACTCCGACCTGCCAAGCTGACGGGACATGGAGTAATCCTGATCCAGTATGCACACGTAAGACCACCTGCAAGTTATTATTTTTTCTGAGAATCAAAATGTCTATGGATTTATATACGACATGCACTAGATAGTAAAAAGGCATTTAGTTTTTTTTTCAGTAAAGGGATGGGTAAGGCCATGTTGATTTGATTATATGGATGACATTGACGCGCGCATGAATTTTCGGCCGTCCCCCCCCCCTAAAGTTTTCAACCACACTGTAAGTCGTACCAGTTACAAAATAAGCATATATATATACCGTAAGTTGCAAAAAAAATGATTGGAAAACGATACCAATGTCATAGAATGCCAAAATCAAACGAAAAAGACAAAAATGTAAAGAAATGAATTTGAAGAGTAGATTAGTCCCCATACCATACTCTGTGTCATCTGTTCAACCTTCATGACCACGTAGATTTCATAATAAAGGCAACTTTTTAGGACAAAACTTTTTATTCGCATACTCGCGTCAGTTTTGGGGTTCCCAGAGGCTGTCATCCATATAATTAAATCAACCTGGCCTAAAGGCATACATAATACATTTCTGTAATTGGAGGCAATCGAGTAACCTTTCTGTATTTGAAACGTGATAAAGACATTTATTGTTTTGTTCATCATATAGAACAGTAATAGTTATCTGAAAAAAAGTTCTTGACCATTTCAGCCATTGCAGCTATACAATGTCCGACGCTGACGGCCCCAGGTAACGGAGCGCTCAGCACAGTAGCGACCTCCTACCAGACCGTGGTCACCTTCACCTGTAACTCGGGATACGTACTGAACGGTGCTGCTGCTACGACCTGCCAAGCAGACGGGACATGGAGTAATCCTGTTTCAACATGCACACGTAAGATCGATTTGGAGGCTGATTTTACTAAGTCTAAGTTAGCAATGCCCAGCTAATCGTAGTTTGCAGCTCTCAGCAGATAGCGTTTGGTAATACAAGTGCTACATTGCCAGGCTGGCGGAACATGGGACAGTCCTGCAACAGGCAACCGTGATATTTTAATTTTGCACTAACATATACACGAGTAATTTCTAGCAAAACTGAATATCAAAACACCTATACCAGAGTGGTCAGAATGCCAGAAAGGCTGCCCACTTCAATATTCAATATAGCACAAAGATCAATTCATCACCTAGACACACTTTATATATATATATATTCAGCACAAAGCATACTTCTATTTAAGATATTGTGATGTATTTCATTTCTTGCTGCATATTCAACTGGATTTGTTTCTTTTTGTGCTTTCAATTTCAGCGATCGTATGCCTGCCCCAGACGCCCCCAGCTAACGGAGCGCTCAGTACCACAGACAGGACCTACCAGACTGTAGTCGGCTTCACCTGTAAGCCGGGGTACGTACGGAACGGCGCTGTTACTACGACCTGCCAAGCTGACAGAACATGGAGCAGTCCTGTTCCAACATGCACACGTAAGATGAGTTGCAAGTTGATGATAAGCTTTAGACCAATTTTCCATTTATTTTAGTATGCAGGCATTCACCAAACAGTACTAGTAAAGAGAGAAGTAGAAGCTGGGATCACGTAACCTTTCAGTATTCAGGTATGAATAACGGTTATAGTTTTGTAAATCTTCAGAATAGAAATAGTTTCTTTAAAAGGGTTATTGACCATGTAAGTAAGTATTGACCATGTGAACTATCTCAGCGGTGCAATGTCCGGCCCGTACGGCCCCAGCTAACGGAGCGGTGAGTCCTACCGGTCCGATCTCCTACACGAACGGGGTCACCTTCACCTGTAACTCGGGATACGTACTGAACGGCGCTTCTACTCCGACCTGCCAAGCTGACAGAACGTGGAGTCATCCTGTCCCAGTATGCACACGTAAGGCGTGAATTGATATTCTTTTAACAAATTGAAATGTCCTTGGATTGATTAAAGACATCCACCAGATAGTAAAAGAACAATTAGTACAGTACATTTTCAGTACAGAAAGGGGTTAAAGGCATAATACATGTATACATACATGCATACATGTATAATATATTGTGTTTCATTTCAAGCTATTTCAATATGTTTGACAGGAATTAATTTTTTTGCAATTTACATTTCATCGAATTGTGATATGTAGACCTTCAGAAGATAAAGAGATCGAGTAACGTTCTGTATTGAATGAATGAAATATTTGTTTGTTATAAGATACATCGCATACTAGTATATTTCTGAATGGCGTTTTCAAAACATGATGAAGATTAACATGTCTTGTTTAGTTAATGTCCAGAACAGAAATAGTTATCCGAAAAAAATTAAACTTAGGGTTCTCGACCATTTTAGCCATTATAGCTATTCAATGTCCGGCGCTGACGGCCCCAGCTAACGGAGCGCTCAGCACCACAGCGACCTCCTACCTAACCATGATCACCTTCATCTGTTACCCGGGATACGTACTGAACGGCGCGTCTGTTACGACCTGTCAAGCTGACGGGACATGGAGCAGTCCTGTTCCAACATGCACACGTAAGACCGAGTTAGAGATTGATTTTAGCTAGGCTAGTTAGCAATGCCCAGCGAATTATAGTTTACAGACCTTCAGCAGATAGTGTTACCAGTGCTACATGGCCAGAGGCTGACAGAAACTAGAATGCAATTGTGGCGACTTGTATATTGATGACTTAAGGGCATGGTTTGTAGATTTATGCCAACAAACATTGATTACGTACTAATATATACACGAGCAATTTCTAGAAAAATTAATTATAATTGTATATGAATATACAGTATATATAGCCTATACTATAGTGGACAGAATGTGAGAAAAGGCTTCCCATTTCAATATTCAGCGTTCCAAACAGACAAGCATACAAGTATCATACAAGCAATCGACGCCATTTTGTATACAAAGTCGTAGAACCTATAGCGTAACATGCATGTTCAACAGGTTTATGTCAGAAAGATCGGTCACCTAAACATGTAAATGTAACCTACTGAGCAGCTAAAGGCATACCCAAAATTTTATGTTTTCATGTATAGCTACATGTTTGGCAGTAATTGTTTGTCTATTTGTACATTCCATTGTAGCTCCACAATGCCCGCCCCCGCCGCCCCCAGCTAACGGAGCGGTGAGCGGTCTGATCTACCCGAACACGGTTACCTACAGCTGTAACCCGGGATTCCAATTTAACGGCGTTGCTACTTCAACGTGCCAAGCTGACGGAACGTGGAGCAGTCCTGCTCCAACATGCACACGTAAGATTGATATGGAATAAATTTATATAAATATATATATATATATATATATATATATATATATATATATATATATATATATTCAAACGCACTTCCAATATTCAGACAGAAAGAAAGATTTATTTTTTTAATTAATCACGTAAACATTTGTTTTCCATATATAAACAGCAGATTATTCACCATTTCAGCCAGGCCATGTCCGACGGTAACGGTCCCAACTAACGGAGCTCTACGTCCTCTCGGACCACACGCCTACCCAATCGTGGTCAACTTCACCTGTAACCTGGGATACGAACTGAACGGCGCTGCTGATACGGCATGCCAAGCTAACGGAACATGGAGTCATCCTATTCCAACATGCACAAGTAAAACAACTATTTGTTGGAGAATATCTCTGTCCGTTGATACCTTATGTATCGCACTGTATCATTCATCACGGAAAAGCATCTTTTGTCTATTTTCTTTATATCCATGAATTAATGTTTATATGGAATCAAATTAAATATCTAATAAGTATTAAACTCCTGTCATTTTATACAATAAAATGTAAATTTCCCTTTTTAATTTACGCAAATTAAATCATCAACGTACACCAAATTGGAATTGCGTTACTTTTAGTTCAGAACATAATGTAATATGTACAATGGGTGCAAAAGTGAATATCAACGATATATAATTGTTAGTAATATGGTTATTAATCTTGTTATTATTGAATACAGTAAGAAAGTTTTATTGCATGGTGAATATTAACACATTATTGAAATAGATATAGATTGAGGTATAGTGTGAAATATTGTTTGAATTGTAAATATTTACTTTTAAAGGTGATCTTTGGTTACCCATCCTAACAAATAGTTCTTAGAAAGATTTCAATTCCAAAACAATCGTTTATAATTGTGATTGTAATCTTTGCAATAATCAGTGATTCAATTTATTTCAACGTTTCAGTTTCCGCATCTCTCGGCGTGAGCTCTTGTGAGAATCTGACTGTTTTTGACAGTGATTCCGGCAGCTTTGCCTCCCCGAGCTGGCCAAGGCAATACCCCCTCTCCACCAACTGTACCTGGCAGATCAATGTCAGTCCGGGAAAAGCTGTGCTCTTACGGTAAGACATCTCATTTTAATTCAACAGTGACCAACGTCATTATGTTTACAGAAGGAAAACATATTGTTTATGCCCAGTTTCCTCCTATTCTTCCGTTCCAACTACTCTCTGACCGGGTCAATGATCAGACTGTCTCTCGCTGTTTTTTGTTTGCGGAAACGAAAAAATAAGATATTAGCAATATGTATAAATGGTACTCATGACTAACCCTTTCAACCCTTTTTGTGTTTTGTTGTCTTTTGTATCACACTCTTCGGTTCAATAAACTGCACAGTCAGTCACGGTTTTGGGAATGGAAGATGGATTTTTATTAAATTCATAATGTTAAAAATAGATTAGATTTGCATAGTTCTTTTGTTATGTACCTGACGTTAAAGCTATAAACAAGTAAAATACCTCCGGGCCTTTTATTGTATATTTTTATATGTTGTTTGTTATGTTTAGTTGATGGTGTTGAATTTTATGTGTTGGATTTAACGTTCTTGGTTGTGTTAACAGGACTAGGGTTTCAAACAAAGAATTTATAAAAAATATATTAAAAAACGCCAAAGGTCAACGGTCGCGACCATTTCCACGCTCAAAAGGGTGTTCTGGGGCCACCAAAAGGCACCATTTTCACGACCGAAAACACATATACAATAAACACAAAAGAACGTGCATCATCTACAGCCAATAGCAAAACGTACACCGAGTCCAAAAAAATACGTCCACCCAAACGCGAGAAACCGCTGCGAACATGAAAATCTAAATCTCTCACGAAACCCTTCCGCAGAAGGATGTCTCCTCCCCCGAGGGTAAAAAAAAAAAAACTTTCTTTGTTTTTTTCCTCCAATATGTTATCGATGTGTGACTTTACCTTTAAAATATCTAGTTTTGGTGACTTTAACGTGGAGCATGGTGGCAGGACGTGTATATGGGACAGACTGCGAATCCATGATGGACCAAACATCTCCTCTCCGGTGATCGCAACTCTCTGTGGTTCGTCTGTTGGTCCCGTCATCACAGCAGGAAGTTCTGCCTTCGTGGAATTCTACAGCGACGAGTCGGTGACTGATTCTGGATTTGTCGCCAGCTTCACTGCCTGGAACGACACTTTTAGTGAGTAGATTAATTTCTTTTCTTTCATATCATATCATATTAACATTCACGTTGATGTCTTTATTCTTTTATTGTAATTAACTAGTAACCACTGTTTAAGGTCCTTTTCACCCCAGGCCACTTTGTACGCTCAAAAACTTTAGGTACTACTGTTTGGTTTTAGGGAACAAAACTGCGCAACGCAATATACTGAGTTTTAACATCTTTTTATTATTACTAAGAATTTGGATTTAGAATAACTTGCGTTTAGGCATTTGGTGGCTCCTAGCTTTGGCGTGTGAACCAAGGAAATATTCAATAAAAATCCGTATTAAGTAACAGGTAGTCTATTTTGTTTAATGTATGCTATCGTGACAAGTATCCACCAATATTACTTTACTTTACATACATTACTTATAGCATGGAACACAACAACGCAGTACAGTACGTTTGCAGTAACGACACCAACACCCAGGCACTGTGGTAACCCAACTGTCTTAAGTGGTAACTCTGGCAGATTCACATCTCCAGGTTACCCAGGCAACTATCCGAACAACGTTTACTGTTCTTGGCAGATATCCGTCAGTACTGGCTACGTGGTCGCCATCCGGTAAGACCCTATTAAGGCTCATTTTCTGGCATCTGTTGATTTGAGCTCAGGAAACTATCTATCAACAAATTATTTAAACAGGACTGTATAGCATTATACTAAACTGTCTAATCCACCTCTGACTTAATAATGATACCACTCCGTCACGGTTTGACATATTAAAAAGCAAATGGACTGTATCACGGGTAACTAAAACGGTAGCTTTGCTATAATAATGTATTTAACGGTCTTGCTTTCTGCAAATATTCCATGCATTCTACAAATTAATTCAGATAAGAACTTATCATTTACCTCTTTTACACAGAAGTGAAATATTATCTCTCTTTCTTATTTGTATCTATGTTTTCCATAGGTTCATTTCATTCTCTCTAGAGAGTGCGACAAACTGTCGTTATGACTCTCTGGATGTTTATGACGGATCAAGCACATCTGCACTACAATTGGCCAGACTCTGTGGTTCATCTGCCCGAACAATCTTCACAACCGGCCGGAACGCCTTTGTGGTCTTCCGTACAGACGGGTCGGTGACAGAATCCGGATTTTCTGCCAACTTTACCGCAGAGAGAAGAAGTACGTGTCACGGCATATGAAAAAGTTTTTAAAACACTGTTGGCTTGCCGTAACCTATTTTTACATTCGTAGTACATTGGAAACTTCGCTTTTGGTACCCATCAAGATTTTGATCTTTATAATTTGTCCATTTTAAAAACCGTCTTTTACTTACGCTAAACATTAGCAATTCAAGTTTCGATGTTTTCAGTTACAGTTAATTGTAAAAAGCATAGTACGGTCAGACTGCTGAATTGCATGCTCATTTACCGGTGAAACACATTGGAATAGAAACATTGACTGACGTTGTTCAAGCAGATACAAATCTAAAATTACACAAACCATATCTAAAATCACTCTTATCATAGTCCTATGGTGATAAAATAACTATAAAAACCTATCATATAGAATGATAAGTTTTTGGTGTATATGAAGCAGCCATTACATACGCAATGCACGAGGAGAGTCTCAATATATCAATAATTCCAGAAAGCCATGAAAGTTCTGTAACAACCTCTAGCTTAAAATTCCTAATTCCTCTTTTATCTTAACTGAGTTAATTATTTGTAAACATTGTTTAACGCCCTTTCAACTTTGTATGTATTACAAATTCATATACTACCTTATTTTTAGGGACAAAATTACAATACAATTATACTGCATTCCTCTTTAGAGGTAGAAAAAGATGCTGCATAATTGTGCCGATTATTTGGTTTCAATATTATCATTATCAATTATGCATTTGATTTTGAATATTAATAGTAAGGAATAAGGGAATAACTAGCATTTCGGATTTTTGCGGCTCCCAGCACTAGCGTGTGAAGTCAGGAAATATCCAATAAAGAGCTATGTTCAGTAACATTTAGTCTACGTTGTAATATGCTATCATGACATTTATCCCCAAAGTGCCAAATGCAAAATTGTTATGTACTTGCATCCTTATTAAAGATGTAAAATTATTTACAGCATGGTACAACACAACACCGGCAGCGCAAAACAGTTCGTTTGCAGTAACGACACCAACCCCCGGGCAATGCGGTAACCTAACGGTCCTGAGTGCTAACTTTGGCAGATTCACATCTCCAGGTTACCCAGGCAACTATCCGAACAACGCTTATTGTTCTTGGCAGATATCCGTCAGTACTGGATACGTGGTGGCCATCCGGTAGGATCCTATTAAGATTGACTTTCTGGCATCTGTTTATTTGAGTTCAGGAAACTATCTACATGCTAACACGATGTCTTACATGGAACATGTGCCAAATGTTTAGCGCATTAGAAGAATGAATATTACTAGGTTGACTCTTCCCTACACCCTGATGTACTATGCAAGGCTGTCTGCACCACATTCCCTGCGATTTAATAAATGATACCACTCCGTAACGGTAATACAGTATCGCAGGTAATGTATCACAGGTAATTGAAACGGTAGTTTTGCTATAATCATCTATTCTAATAATGGTCCTGCTTTCTACAAAATCAGATCATTGCTTATCATTTACCTGTATTACACAGCCCATGAAATGTAATCTCTCGTATTTATATTAATTTCATAGGTTCAGTACATTCTCTCTGGAGAATGAAACAAACTGTGGTTATGACTCGCTGGTTATTTATGACGGATCAAGCACAGCTGCACTACGTTTGGCCAGACTATGTGGTTCATCTGCCCCAGCAATCTTCACAACCGGCCGGAACGCCTTTGTGCTCTTCCGTACGGACGGGTCAGTGACAAGATCCGGATTTTCTGCCACATTTACCGCGGAAACAAGAAGTACGTATATCAAGTTCACGGCAGATGAAAACTTTTAAAACACTGTTGGCTTGTTGTAAGCTATCGTTACATTCGTAGTACATTGGAAATTTCTCATTTGGTACCCATCAAGATTTTGATCTTTATAATTTGTCCATTTCAAAAACTGTCTTTCACTTACGCTAAACATTAGCAATTCAAGTTTCGATGTTTTCAGTTACAGTTAATTGCAAAAAGAGGCATAGTGTGGTCAGGCGGCTAAATTGCACACTTATTTACATACAGCCAGTGAAACATTGACTGGCGTTGTTCAAGCAGCTACAAATCTAAAATCAATTACTCTTAGCATAGTCCTATGGCGGTGAAATAATCATAAAAACCTATCATATAGAATAATACGTTTTTGGTGCATGTAAAGCAGGCATTACATGCGCTATGCACGAGGAGAGTCTCAATACTATATTATTAATATCAATAATTCCAGAAAGCTATGAAAGTTCTGTAACAGCCTTTAGCTTAAAATAATCAATTCCTCCTCTATCTTAACTTACTAAACTATTTATAGCCATTGTGTAACACCTTTTTAACCACTTTGTTCTTATGTATTACAAATGCATATACTACCTTATTTTAGGGCCAAAATTGCAATGCAATTATTCTGCATGTTTGTCAATGTATTCCTCTCTAGAGGTTGACAAAAAGGTGCTGGTTAATTGTGTCCATTATTTTGTTTCAATATTATTATTATCAATTAAGCATTTCAATAGATATAGTAAGGAATAAAACAAAAACTAGAATTTCGGATATTTGGCGGCTCGCAGCACTACCGTGTGAAATCAGGAAATATCCAATAAAGAGCTATGTTCAGTAACATTTAGTCTACTTAGTAATATGCTATCGTGACATTAATCCCCAAAGCGTTAATTCCAAAGTTGTACTTGTATCCTTGTTAAAGACGTAAAATTATTTCCAGCATGGTACAACACAACACCGGCAGCGCAAAACAGTTCGTTTGCAGTAACGACACCAACACCCAGGCACTGTGGTAACCCAACTGTCTTAAGTGGTAACTCTGGCAGATTCACATCTCCAGGTTACCCAGGCAACTATCCGAACAACGTTTACTGTTCTTGGCAGATATCCGTCAGTACAGATTACGTGGTGGCCATCCGGTAAGACCATAATAAGGTTCATTTATTGTGAACTGTTAATTGATAGTTCTGGAAACTATCTACTAACAGGAATGTTTAGCATTTAAGAAGGATGAATGAATTGCTTCATAATATTCAAAAGGGTTGCTCTGTTTTATTTTTTTATTTATTCAAATGGTCCTGGATTCTGCTAATATTCCATGTATTCAACAAAATCAGATCATTACTTGTCATTAACCCTTTTTACAGGGCAGGTGAAATAACCTCTCGTATTTATATTGATTTTTTATAGGTTCAGTGCGTTCTCTCTCCAGAATGAAACATACTGTGGTTATGATCACCTGGTTGTTTATGACGGATCAAGCCCATTTGCACCACATTTGGCCAGACTATGTGGTTCATCTGCCCGAACAATCTTCACAACCGGCCAGAACGCCTTTGTGGTCTTCCGTACGGACGGGTCAGTGACAGAATCCGGATTTTCTGCCAACTTTACCGCAAAGAGACGATGTATGTATATCAAGTTAATGGCATGTTTATAAATAAAGTTTTGTTATTGAATGTGCTCATGGCATGTTTATATAAATAAGGTGTTGGGCTTTTTGCTATCAGTGGAAACTTCCCGTTTGCTCGAGTTAAATTTTTGTTAAGTCCCTTCGTCCTTTCAATCATATTACACTTTCTCTGAACTTCATGAATGGAACGATTAGCATTTGTGTAGAACTGTATTATGCACAATTTGTCAACGGTTAGAAACATTCCGCAGTTAGTTACATTCGCATCGTTCAAAGAACCCTTTGTTCTCTACTGACGCCCTCCTATCTTGCCGGTGATACAAACTTGTCAAAGTCAATTTTTCCGAAAAACATGCTATTTCCATCGTTCTACTGTGCTCAGAAGACATATGGATACACCTACATGTATGACGTGGGAAAAGACTTAAAGAAAAACACTCTTTTTGAAGAGCGTTGACGAGGACGCATTGAAGAACACTGGCCTCTGTAAAGGCGCCCCGCCGCTTACACGATATTCTGTTAATGCTCAGTTTACTCTATACGCCTACTTACATGCAGCTTGTCGGTCGGACGAGTTCCGGTGTGACAATTTGGAATGTATACCGTTCTCGGCAAGATGTAACGATCGTATGGATTGTCCTGATTGGAGCGACGAATCAAACTGCAGTAAGTAAATAATAGATTTTACGTCGGTGAGGGTTATACAACTAGGTAATAAGATACGCCAAAACACTCACTCAAGCAACTATAAAAGCTGGTTTATAAAATAGATATTCAATAGTTCCAGCTTATAAACATGGCTTTCTTCACAAGTTCCCTTGTGTCACTGATGAAAGATAATGGATGCCACCTGAAACGTCGGAACGTTTCCAAAATCATATTCAGCTGCTTGAGTAACTGTTTATTGGCGTAATGATAGTTTTTCTTGGATTTAAAGTGCTCCCTATATACATATACATGATATATATATATATATGTATATATATATATATATGTATGTATGACGTGGGAAAAAACTTTAAAAAAAACACTCTTAAGTATGAATACATGAGTACATGAATATCACATGATATTCATGTACATGACTTTGTTAAAGCTACGTAACTTTTTTCCTGAAATGCTAAGATGGCTTTCTTTATCAAGATACGAGACGACTGCCACCAAATGGTCAGAATATGATCTACTGAACAGTCGTAAAGATCAATGTCGTTTGACGAAGGCATAAGGGCGTGGTTTCAAATACATTTTGACCTTCGAAGTGGTTTAAAATACATTTTGACCTTCGAAGAGATAACAATGGCTAGCTTATTTCGGTTCTTTGGTTTTATTGACTGGCAAATAATATACTAATTTTGGTCCAAAGACATACGACTGAGGGCAAACCTGGTTTTATTCAATTTTATGGTCATGCCCTAGCATTTTCTAATCAATATAGCTATCTCCTGGCTCGAATCTTCGTATTGATGAGTCAATGAATTTTGGATTGATCTACAAACATACCGTTGAGAACGAAATTCAATGTTTTTTTTTCTTCATTAGTTCACACCTTTGAAGGAGCATGTGACTTTGATGAAGATCAGTGTAACTCTAGAACAACTGCCTCGAGGAGTTTCCGGTGGTACCGACACTCTGGTAGAACATCCTCCTCCTCTACGGGACCATCATCAGACCATACAAGTGGATATGGTATGTCAACCATTATCTTTTGAATTATCTATTTTTTTAGTTTTAAGCTGGTGTACTAACGATTGGCTTGCTATGTTAATATTACATCTTTAAGTTTAAACACTGAAACTGCAATATTTGGTGCTTATAGACAGCTAACTTACGTACATTAATTCTTTTTTTAAACCGGTCATGACGTATACTTGTTTGATATGCATGGTTTTATATGTACAAGGAAGCTACTGGTTATTGAGCTCCAAATGCAACTGCAAGTCGAAAATTGCCAATCATTCACTCTGATGTTGTTTCTTACCATTAAAGTGCTAATTTACATTTTGAATGCTAGAAAATATGTAATTGTCTTTTGTCATCTTCAGGGTATTATATGTACACGGAAGCTACGTATGGTAGTACTGGTTCGACGGCCAGTTTAACGTTTCCGATCATTCGCTCTGCCGGTCAGCACTGCCTGTGGTGGTTCTACCACATGTATGGGGCGACCATGGGCACACTGAACGTCTATGTGTCCCAACCTCAGTATCCTGATGTTTTAGTATGGACAAGGTCTGGAAATCAAGGAAATCAATGGCTACCTGCTTCAACCTCTATTTCAATAAATGCTAGTGTATTTCAGGTGAGTGAAAAAAGCTATCTAAAGGGATTTTCGAGATCATTTGAGCCATCATCTTAAGTGTAGACTGGTTTACGTTGTCTTTTGAATGTTGTGATTTCTATTTCATACTGGGCCAAGCCCTATCTGGGGCATTCCGCCCAAAGTACATGTCAAATGCAGCCGGTGTTGGTGCTTCAAAAATAAATTGAAAAGGCGGATAAAAGTACTCAAAGTAATCTTGACTGTAAAGCCGCAATGGAACCAGGTCACTATGTTTGTGATTCATTTAATGGCTGTAGGTTGATTCAATTAATGGCTGTGTGTGGAAAGAAACAGCCTTTATGTGTATTTGTGCTGAAAGATAAAGGGTGACTTCTGGTTATGCTGGTGTTGCTGGTGAGACATTCATGGACAGCCATCTTGACTAATCGTTAATAGCGTTGTATTATAGTAAAGGAATACTTGCCTTTTTTCTTCTGTCTTGACAGGTTGTCCCAGTTATTTTGAGATCTGCATCTGTGCAATGCTGGCAATCATTGTCTGTAGTAATTTGCTATGTACCTGGCAGCTCGGTTCTATACTGTCTTTATCCTGTCTTGTACGATATTTTACTGGGCATGCTGGCGTCCCTGGAGTCTCTGGCAGCCTATTACAGCTTCCACCTGACTAGAGATGCGTTAACTATTGCTCTTACTTTTAGCTTGCCCCCTTATGTTTATTCTTCCTCTCATTCTTAATTTCTAATAGCTTACAAATTGTCAATGTCATACTATTCATACTGTCGTCACCATCATATATTGATTTATATTCAAAGCGAAACAATGTTACGTAATGTAATTCCGTAAAAAATTGTCGACTGTAGGTTCGCTATGAAGGCGTAAGAGGAACCAGCTATACAGGTGACATGGCGATTGATGACATCGATGTGGAATCTGGTCCCTGTCGTAAGATTATTTTTATTCAGCTAATATCATCAATTTGTCTTTCGGGTACATCATACGATTAATCAACAATTTCCGAAGTGCATGCTTTTGTAGTGATATTGATGTCTAAAACCTTAGCCTAGAGCATGTATTTCAGTACATGGAAATACTTAATAGATTAAACAATGCCTACAGTTAGAGTTGCGAATGACAGATTGCTCGATGTTACATTATTACTACCTTTTGCAATATTGGCCTTTATAGGATTGCGTTTTTTTCTCTTTTCAAAAGATGCTATTTCGAACGATTCACATAATTTCTAATCGAGAAAAAAAATAGGTTCTTCACATTTACTTGCAATCAGGGGTGAATAACCTGGATCAGTACCGTGTACAAAATATATTGTATATGCTGGTTGTATTTTTCATATGTGCAGCACCTTGTCGACCTGACCAGTTCCAGTGTAACAATACCGAGTGTGTGCCTCTCTCAGCCAAGAACAATGGCCATCCTGACTGTCTAGATTGGAGTGACGAAACAAACCGCAGTAAGTTTGTGCAACCAAGTACAAATGACTTGTCGTTTGTGGCCATATTTTGACGTATACGTATCGTCCTTGGGAGGCCTTTTCGTATTTATGACAAATGCCTTTGTATTGCAGAATATGTCTTCTTTGTGAAGCGGAGTCTTATATTGTTATATGTTGATATTGGTACATAGAAAATTGGCTTATAATTAGATTTCTTCTTCATTAGCATTTAATTGATTGTGTTTACATTGTTAGCTAAAAGAGTTAAGTGTTCAGATCTCAAGTTCCCTCGAAAACTTTATTAGCCCTCTTGCTGGAATTTATCAGTCCTTCTACAGTTGCCTATTTTTTTCGACAGCGACCTTCCCTATTGTATGGGAGCCGTTCAACTTTACGTATGGCAACAGTTGCACAAGCTGTACCGGTGAGCGTTTTGTAAGGAAAAGCAACTACACCTACGGAGGTCAGAGTCTGTATGTCGGTGTTGTTTTGTGCTCGCTGACTCAGTACAAGATATTTCTGAGTGACAACCTGAACGGGACGTTCCAAAATATAGGCGATGGTGCAGGGCACGGTCAGGACCACTGTGAGCTTGTTGGAGCTTCATCAGATCCCCCATCCTCGTCACTGGATCCAGATTATCAAACCTGTAGTGGAACAGGTAAGCTCAACTATGTGACTAGAAAGAGCCTTGAGGCGGTAGCGTTTTACCGAGATCTATTGCTCGTTTGGCCATACCCATTCGACTATTCAAAGATGTAGAGCGTACCAAAATGGGCCAATTTTCAACGATTCAAATTTTCCCTCATTTTGTACAGAAATTTGTGCAAGTGATACCATATCACAAATTTGTTTTTTTTTTTCTATCGGGGTGTGTTTGTGTGTGCAAAAATATATAATCCATATTGTTAACCACGCATTTGAATAATATGCTTAACAACTGTTACCACAATGCAATGCCTATTCAGTAAGAATGCCATTAGATGCAGGATACATTTGGTACACAATGACCTTGGAATAGCTGATTATCAGATGCCTTGTTCTTTCATTCTTATAGACAAAACAAATGGTAGCTGGTTCATACGTCGATGAAGGTTAGACATCCAGGTAATACGATATGCCAAAAAACAGTTACTCAAGCAACTGGATATGATTTTGAAAACGTCAGACGTTTCAGCTAGTATCCACTAGCTTTCGTCAGTGACTGAGAGACCAGAGGGGAAAGCAGGTTTATATACACAACCTGTTGATTGATATGCAAATAAAGTGAAGACAAATTTTTTGGAAGTCGAAAAAGGAACAAAAGTCAGACAAGTCAAGACAAGATGATGCAAATTAGTCTGAAAGCTCCTGTTATACAGGACAGGAGCTTAAGTGTTAAGCACAGGCCAAAACCGACGAGAGGTGGGTAAAAAACCTAAGTAGCCATACTCTCACAGAACCAGAGAAATCACTGCTTTCTAAAGGTCTAAATTTTGCAGTAGCACACAACAAGATTCCCAGCGTTGACATTGTGACAGAAACCGAGTCAGCAATTCGTCGGGCACGTTTACCACAGAGACAAGCTGAAGCCTTGCGCACCAAAGTAGCTACCACCCTGAAAGTCTCCAAACCCCCTGCTAGTAACATCACACGGGAAGAACGTACCGCTCTCAAAGATTTGGCTACCAATCAAGACTTCTTCCTGCAGACAAGGGCAGATGCACAGTAGTCTTAGACAGGGAGCAGTACGACAGGAAGGTACAGGACCTATTGGGAGACAAAGACACCTACATGCCCTTGAAAAAGGACCCCACTGACAAGTTTAAAGGGAAAATCAGTTCAGCTCTCAAGAAATTGCAAACTGAAGGAGTTCTGGATCGCCCCACCTACCTAAAACTCAACCCCACAACGGAACAACCCCCTGCTTTCTACGGCCTTCCCAAAATCCACAAACAAAGTGTCCCTCTACGACCCATAGTCTCCAGTATAGGCTCTGTCACCTATGAGTTAGCAGGTTTTCTAGCCAAGATTTTAGGACCACTAGTGGGGAAATCTCAGCACCATGTACAGAATAGTGCCGACTTTGTCAACAAAATCAAAGACATTCATGTAGAGGATGATGAAACCATCACTTCGTATGACGTGTGCTCACTTTTCACCTCCATACCACCCAAGGAAGCAGTGTCAGTAGTCAAGGAAGCCTTGGAAGCCGATGATACACTTGCAGATAGAACCAACCTATCCGTTGATCAAGTTTGTGAGCTACTAGAACTCTGCTTAGGATGCACATACTTTACCTACAAAGGACAGTTCTACCAACAAATGCACGGCTGTGCTGTGGGATCACCAGTCTCACCAATTGTTGTAAACCTGTACATGGAGAAGTTTGAAAACAAAGCCCTCAGCACTTTCAATGACACTCCCCCGGCCAACTGGTTTCGATATGTAGATGACACTTGGTGCAGATTGAAAAAGAGGGTAGCTGCTGACTTCTTTGACCACATCAACCAGATAGATGACAACATCAAGTTCACACAGGAGCCAAGCCATGACAACATGCTCCCTTTCCTAGACACCAAAACTATCGTAGAGGAAGATGGTAACCTTCGTTTCGAAGTGTACAGGAAACCAACCCACACTGATCAGTACCTGGCTTTTGATTACCACCACCCTTTGGAACACAAACTAGCAGTGATCAAAACTCTCTTCCATCGTGCAGACAACATTGTCACTTCAGACCAAGCCAAAACGGACGAACAAAGACACCTCCGAGGTGCCCTGGCTAAATGTGGCTACCAAAACTGGACTTTCAACAAAGCGCTCAAACCTTCAGATCAGTCTAAGAAAACACAGAAGTGCAAACCATTGACCAACAAAAACAAGGCCAACATCACTATTCCGTATGTCCAAGGAGTATCTGAGAAACTCCGACGGATCTTCCAAAACTTCAACATAGCCACTAACTTCAAACCTCACTCAACCCTCAGATAAAGACTGGTACACCCTAAGGACCGACCTCACAAGGGTACCAAGGCGAATGTTATTGACAGACTCAAATGTGAGGAGCCCAATTGCAACAACACCTACATCGGAGAGACAAGTCGACCGCTTAAAGTAAGGTACAAAGAACATTGCCGACCTAGTGCCAACGGCTACTCCTCAGCTATTTTCCACCACCTACAACACAACCAGGGTCACTCTTTCAAACTCGAGTCCACGGATGTCTTAGACCGCGAAACACGCTGGTGGGAACGGGGTGTTAAAGAGGCAATATATGAAAGAATGTACAACCCCACCCTCAACAGGGAAGGGGGGCTACGGGTCGATCTTTCCGGCACTTGGGATTTGGCACTCCCAGCCCCGAGGACAGACAACACTTAAGCTCCTGTCCTGTATAACAGGAGCTTTCAGACTAATTTGCATCATCTTGTCTTGACTTGTCTGACTTTTGTTCCTTTTTCGACTTCCAAAAAATTTGTCTTCACTTTATTTGCATATCAATCAACAGGTTGTGTATATAAACCTGCTTTCCCCTCTGGTCTCTCAGTCACTGACGAAAGCTAGTGGATACTAGCTGAAACGTCTGACGTTTTCAAAATCATATCTAGCTGGTTCATAGCTTAATCAGTAGAAGTACAACAAACATATTACGGTTTAGAACATGTCACAGAAATTAATTTTGTAATTTGCCCTCTAAAAACATTGCCTTAGGTTATTGGCGCTATCGCCGTGAAGACAATTTCACGAAGGGAGCCATCGGTTATAGATCGGAAAATAGCATCACGTGGTATGGACGCTGGTACGAGTGCGGTGTTACAATACCTGAAGGTATGTTCATATTGCATTGTTTTTTAACCGATAATGTTATCATTGACTTAAGTAGCATCTAGTTCTATCGACATGCATGCAAAACGTTAACCATAGAAATAATATATGATTTGAGTATAATTTGTCTTGATTCTTACGTAGACCGAGACGAGGATGGCTGGAGTTGTAACTTTAATACAGACCAGTGTAACTCCATGGTGACTGGTACAAGTGGTGAAGGAGGTTTTCGGTGGATTCGGCGCTCAACTAACAGTCCCGATGAACATGGTATGACATGGATATATGCCAGGGTAATGAATTTTAGATGGTAGGTACAAGTAGATTTAGCAATCGAAAAGAAGTATACGAGTATTGTTTTGGTGCGTGTCTGTGTGTGTGTGTGTGTGTGTGTGTGTGTGTCTGTTTGTGTGTGTGTTTCCGCACATTTGGAGTCAGCATGACTTGATAACGCCTTTATGGATTGTGATGATTTTGTATGTTGGTAGGTCTTAGAAAGACGAAGGTCAATGTCAGATTAGAGCCTCCTGGTGGATGACCTTGGTACTGCAGCAGAACTTCCGGTTTTTGTATCTTTTGTCCTGAGCATGCTATGGTATTGTTTTTTGGTGACAGATAGCTTATCCTGTCAGCAATAAGTGGTGTAAGTTTGATTCCCCTAGCAGCTTGTTCTGGAACTGCAGGTTAGTTTCTGGTAAAAACTTTTAAAGCCAATACATCCAGATAGGAACAACGTATTTCATCATTTATGGTGTGTAGATAGCTGAAAGAGACTTGTACATAATTAAATGCAAATTATGAAAATACCTAATTTGCATAATTAAAGAGGAAATTCTATAATTACAGTGTTTTATATAATGGTACTGCTGTACATGTAATCTATTCAATCTGTGGCAGGCGGAACATCAGCAGATACCAATTATGCAAATGATGACCTAATTTGCATAATCAATGTGAAAATTTTGTGACTCCTTATTGGCGAATGATGGGAATTTTATACCCTGTGACATATGTAAGTTACTTAAAGGTTAACACCACTATGCATACACTATGTTAATGTAGAGATCATTTGCATAATTAATGAGGGCATGAAGTTGAAATGAAGTATGACAAAGGAGAGGAATTTTACACGAAAAATATTGTCATTTGAGTTTAGAAAACCATAAATTAAACTAGATTATGCAAATTACGACCGTATTTCCATAGTCAATGAGACAAATAAAAAAACATTTACAAAAGCTTATACATTTCATGGACGTATGAGGTCTCCGAATTCTTATCAGATATTGAGAATGCAAAAAAATGTCATAATTTCAAAATGGTGACTGCCTGAAATTTCCTACAGAATTAGGAAGTTAATAAGTAAAGGTAAACATTATCAATCATAGCATACAAATCAGGACCTCTTTTGTATATTTCATAAGGAAATGTTAGAATAGATTCCTTTGCTACAATGATTTACACTGGATGGAGCATATGATCAACTGATACAATCGATTAAAATGCGTAAGTTGCTTCCTTTTTCAATTTTTTTACTTCTTCCAGGTATCCGACTTGTTGGCGGAAATTCTACCAATGAAGGCAGAGTTGAGGTGCTCTATAACGGACGATGGGGGACCGTCTGTGACGACCATTGGGGGCTGGATGACGCTCACGTGGTCTGTCGTCAGCTGGGATTTCGCGGTGCAACAGCGGCTCCTCGAGTAGCAGCCTTCGGTCAGGGGTCTGGGCCGATCTGGCTGGACAATGTAAACTGCGATGGGTCCGAGACAACCATTTCTGACTGTGGACACAACGGTTGGGGATCACATGACTGTGGGCACTATGAAGATGCGGGAGTTGTTTGTGAACGTGGTATGTCCAACGATTAACGTATTTATCCCTGATGGCAATGTTATCCACTGTACAAAGTTGAGCGTTTATTCCTGGTGTTTTACGGCAAGGTTTATATAAAATTCAACTTAAATTTTCTTACTGGAGATATACGCATCTGAAAGAATGGACGTCAGGATAACCTGGGGATGGCAATCACAGTCAATTTAGCTCACTTTACATTCTTGTTGCACTTATGGATAACCTATTTTTGATACCCTTTGTCATACGTATACATCTTGTCTCACGTCTAATGCGTGATATACATGGGTCTTCATTGCAGTTGGTACATTTGTATATACAAATACTACAAAGTTACTTTTAGTACAATAGTACAGGGGCATTTGCAAAATTTCACAGCGTCTGTCGTATTGGCATGTTCAAATATGTTGGCGCCCATTTCCGTTTCGTTGTACAATCACTACAAGAGGAGCCTAGTCCACTTGTGGTGATGTGTGTGTTTAAACCCCACACTCTTTCTCAAATGCTGATTGCTAAGCAGAGAAAGCAGTATGTACCATTTTAAAAGGCTTTACATGACTTGGCGTCAGCTTGAACGTACGACCTACCGAATTGAAATTGAGCACTCTACCCACTTGGCTATTGCACCGGCCAGAAATACCATTAGAAAAAACAGCTTTTCTTTTTGTACTATGTTCATTCAACAGCCGGTGCCATACATTTTACCGCTTTGCAATGAAGTTATTCATTTTAATGAGCTTTCGTTCGCCCCACTACCTGGCCACTTTTGACGCTAACAATTAATACTTGACGTTAGAATAATTATTTCACTTTTCATCAAATGTATGGACTGTATAAATGAAGGCTTTTCAACGCATATATGGTTCAAATCACACTGTGGTTCCCTGCTTATTCATTGGAAATTAATCGGATACATGCCAACTTTCACAGCTGTCGCCCAGTCGATTCCACCTCGACAAGGTAACTGTTTTAATGCTTCATACATTCATACAATGCTGCTACGTAGCGGCGTCCGTTTGGGTGTTCGTCTTTGTACTGTGACAATTCATCATGTTGTGCATGCCTAATATGTTTTATAATATGTATCGGCGATTCTAGACATCCACTTCGGATTCCATCCAAACAAAAACTCGTCGTCTCTGTTGGTATAGAGCCCAATCACGAATCTGTACATTAAAGACATTCGTTTAAAAAATAGTTGTACTTCCGCATGTGGAATGTTTATTTAGTCAGATCTCAGACATACATGAATGTGACTTTCTAATTGTTTTGAGTTGTTAAAACATGTTTTTTCTTATTTCATTTATAGGATTTTTTATGCTAGCGCACGGTAGATTTGGATCTTCTAATGCATCTGCCAGTTTGAAGTTGCCTATCATAACCTCCGACGGTCAGCACTGCCTGCGGTGGTCCTATTACATGTACGGATCTGACATGGGAACACTGAACGTCTTTGTCTCACAACCTCAGTATTCTGATATGTTAGTGTGGACAAGGTCTGGAAACCAAGGAAACCAGTTGCTGTCAGCTTCAACCTCAGTTTTCACCAATACTACTGTATTTCAGGTGAATGATAGTTACAGTAATATGATAAAGGCCTGACAACTAAGGGAAAATGATTTAATTATTGCGATTGTCTCTGTACATGTTGTAAATTTCCATTAGTTTATACAGATATGCAAGTTTATATTATCAGCCATCAATAATATTGTTATTAATGTCCAATATGTTGGCAGATATTCATAATGAAATACATATAATAAAACATACATTTGAAACAATGCTTTCTTGTGTATGTATATATGAACATATTGTATTACAGATTCGGTTTGAAGCTGTGATAGGACCTGGTTACGACAGTGACATGGCGATTGATGACATTTCTATAAGATCTGGTCCCTGCAGTAAGAACATTTTTGTTGTTTCGTCATATTCTTTGCGTTCTATTCATCTATGTATCTATGGATATCAACACATTTACTAAATGAAGTTTAAGAGAGCGACCTAAAGCTGTGCCAACATCAGCTGATTCAATTGAATTATCCTTTTGACCTTTATTAGTCACACATGTTTGTAGTTAGAAGGGTACAAATCTGCAATTGCAGAAGGAAACTTATTTTGTCGTTGTAACTGTATCTCCTGTAGCTTCAGCTAACTGTTCCGATGATCAGTTTGCCTGCTGGGACGGAAGTTGTATTCCCACAAACCTGACGTGTGATGGTAATTCTGACTGCCATGATGGGAGTGACGAGGTCTTTTGTGATCTTGCGCCAAGTAAGTGATTAGATTATGTTCAGTGTAGTTTTACGTTGATTGAGATGTTTCTGTAAGATGCAAGAGATGTTTTGAAAGGATCAACAAATTCAATAGTTTTTCAAAAGAATTTTTTGGGCCATTATAACATTTCCATTACCCTTATGGCAATTAATTAACCATCCTTCCGAAGGCCTGCTTTCAAATATATATTGAATCAAACTTTCAGTACATTTTCCTTCCATGCGTCAATATAGCTAAATATAAGGCGATGCATGTATGAAATATATTGTAATAAACCATTGCATAGTAGTTGTATACTATCAAACGTTGCAGCCATTGTAAGAGACTGTACCCAAACCACGTTGCCTCAATGTTGCTAAATAGCCTTATAATTTTATTATTGTTAACAAGATCAGCTATCGTATTGCGTATGAGTTTTATTACAGAATAGCACACTAATATACTGAACCATTTCTGTTAGCACCTGGTGTGAATTGTGGTAATCCTGATGTACTGAGTGGAAACATCGGCAGCTTTACATCACCAGGCTACCCTAACAACTACCCTGACGACGCCTTATGTTCGTGGCACATATCTGTCAATACCAGCGAAGTGATTGCTATTCGGTAAGGGCTGTTTAGTTCTATATTCGGGATACTGTACAAAACGCAAAGATTCCAATAAGGGAAATTGCATAATAGAGTCGAATATATTTTTTTTGGGGACTTCTGAATTTGTTTATTTTACGTAATTACGATCCTAAGTCAGCTGTGTTCGTTAACTTTTGTTGTATTTAAAGTTTGCTGCTTTTTAATGCTTTTGAAGGTAGGTTTTCCTACTAGTATCTTATGTTTGATTGAACATGTACGGTATGTATTACTATAGTTGTGGGTAGCCTTTTATCTTAAATCTACTTTTTACCCTTTATACTATGAAAATAGTTGTCATATTAAAATTTAATGTTCTCAACTGGTTTTCAACAGTTTTAATGTCTTAGACCTACATCGCTGCTACGAAGATTTTTTGACCATATATGATGGCTCAAACACAACAGCGCGTCAATTAGCCACCCTTTGCGGTTCAAACGGCCGAACGATCTACACAACCGGCAGAAACGCCTTTGTGGTCTTCCGGTCGGACGGGTCGGAGACAAGATCAGGATTTTCCGCCACGTTTGCCGCCGAGAGAAGACGTAAGATCAATGACATCTTGGCCTATACGAAAAAAAAGTTTCATTTAATAACATTTTGGTTCCCTTTTTTTAACTCACTCCTGGCTTCTTAACAGAGTAAAATATCACTGCCATTACGTATTGTAGTGATTTCCAAGGACCACGCTTTGAAGACACTTTGTCTAGCCACGAAATTTCCCTTCCTACTTCCGAATTGGAAAAAGTATGACTTTGTTATGATTCGAATTTGTTTGATATTCCTGCAAAAGCCAGGCGCTTTTTCCGAAATTTCATATAGATGGTAGAATATAATATATAGGGATATTCTTCTTATTTCTCTATGATTTGAAACGGGTGAAACTTAACCGGTTGTGTAAGACGATTATCGCTTTGAATATGAATACCAATGAATATCTAGCAACGTACAGACACCGTTGCATAGTCTGTATATGTTAGTTTCATATAAGCAAGGAAAGTGGTTTTGTAAATAGATTTTTTATATCTCCGTTTATTGTTAGTGTTGACTTTACACATACCCACAGCTTGTCAATCTAACGAGTTCCGGTGCAACAGTTCGGGGTGTGTACCACTCTCGGATAGGTGTAACGGCCAAGCTGACTGTCTGGATGGAAGTGATGAACATAACTGCAGTAAGTTAACAAAATGAATCTATTGTTTTAACCGTAGCATATTAAAGCTTTGTTCACCTTAAGCTAACAAACAGTATTTTAGTGCAGCTGCCTTTTCCCTGGATATGGAAAATTATATTCATTTAGTTTGTAGTTTCACGTATGGTACTGGGTACTTGACAATTGTTTATCACACATTCTTGCAGCTTGTCGACCTGACCAGTTCCTTTGTGACACCTCGAGATGTATATCACTCTCCTCAAAATATAATCTCCACCCTGACTGCCTAGATTGGAGCGACGAATTAAACTTCAGTAAGTAAATGCTAGGGTGGGCAGTAAGCCTAAAGTAAGTGCAATTTGGAAGAATTTTATTGTTGTGATTTTTAAGATTAACATTGTAGATCTTGCATTGTCTACTACCTATAGTAATGATTCTGTTGTATTTACATATTTTCTGCAGGTATTGTATGGGAGCCATTCAACTTTACTTACGATACCAGTTGCACCAGCTGCGCCGGTGAGCGTTTTGTAAGGCCAAGCAGCTACACCTACGGAGGTCGGATCCTCTATGTCGGTGTTGTTTTGTGCTCGCCGACTCAGTACAAGATATTTCTGAGTGACAACCTGAACGGGACGTTCCAGAACATTGGTGACGGGTCAGGACACGGTCAGGACCACTGTGAGCTTGTTGGAGCTTCATCAGATCCTCCGTCCTCGTCACTGGATCCGGATTATCGCACATGTGGTGGAATAGGTAAGCATCGCCATGTGGCACGTGGCTATTTGAAACCTTGTAGTTATAGCGTGTAATACATTTATTACACAGTTGGTCCTACCCAATCATACGATTCACCTGTATGTGCATAACCGGTTTAAAGTAACCGGTAAACATTGTTTAAAGCTATCTAATGATAATGCCCTTACTGTACTTGGTGAAATCGTTGTGTTTTATTTTACAAGCTTAAGCAAAAGGTAGTTGATTTGTCACATGAAATAATTATAAACAGACGTACGTCAAGCATAGGAAGATACATGCATCAAGAAAGAGTTTGAAAATCTAAAACTTTCATTAATGTGTGATAGGTTATTGGCGCAATCATCGCGGACACAATTTTATCTACGGAGTAATCGCTTTCGGACGGTACTATGGACGCTGGTACCGGTGTGGCGTTACAATCCCTGAAGGTAAGACATTTTTAGTAAAAAATACCATCCATGCTTTAACTTCTGTCAGTAGAGTTAAGTTCCAACATTGATTTGAAAATCCATATGTGATTTGACTATAATTGTTTACTCCTATTTCCTACCAAGGCCGTGACGAGGATGGCTGGAGTTGTCACTTTGATGTAGATCAGTGTAACTCCATGGTAACTGGTACGGGAGATTTTCGATGGGTTCGACGCAGTGGTAGTACACCGTCATCGTCAACAGGACCGCCAGCAGACCATACAGATGGATCTGGTAGGTCAACAATTATTTTGTTATCTCTATAAGTTTTTAGAAGACTAATTAAGTTATTACTGTTGCCCGGAATTGATAAATGGTTTCATAAATCAAGGTGCAAATATGTAAGGAGTAAATTTATTGGCGTTTAGAAATATTAGGGACTTATGTCATATTCTGGCTGGATGAACCTGACGGAGGGGAGCAAGGCAAGGGGCCAGTACCTGGCCTGTGCACGTAGGCAGGTAGGCAGGCATGTCATATTCAATTAGAGAATATATGTGTTCCACATTTTCAGGAAAATACAGTTTTGTCAAATATTTATCCTTACCATGTTATTACCTCCATGAAAAATGGAAGTGTCGGTTTTGGTGTGTATGTGTGTTTTCGCACATTTGTGTTTTGACACATTTTCGCAAATTTGTAGTCAGCATAACTTCAGAACACCTTTATGGATTGTGGTGGTATTTGGTAAATTAAACAAAACGATTATGTTTATTACGACCTTCTTTCAATGAGACAAGTCCCCCGTCCCCCAAAAAATATTTACAGATGCTCTACATGTTTCAGGGAGGTATGAGATCTCCGAATTCTTGTTTGAACTGTGCTGTTTTCTGAAAAAGATTTTTTGTCCATTGTTTGATCTATAGGATATTACATGTATACGGAGGCCAATTATGGTATCCCCAATGCTACTGCCAGTTTGAAGTTGCCTATCATTCGTTTGGACGGTCAGCACTGCCTGCGGTGGTTCTACCACATGTATGGATCTGACATGGGAACACTGAAGGTCTATGTCTCCCAACCTCAGTATTCTGATATGTTAATATGGACAAGGTTTGGAGACCAGGGAAATCAGTGGGTGCCGGCGTCGGTGTCATTTTATAGCAATGCCAGTTTATTTCAGGTAAGTGATGATATATTCTCTAGTAAAACCAAGAATACAATCATTGTTTACACCTTAATTAGATTATCTCTGTTGTCTTTGGAGTTGATTTTACGGTTAAGTAATGATAATCTCACATTAAGATATCATCTAAATATTTTTTAATTAATTTCGTATCATATTTAAAGTCAAATCTATCTGTTAATACCGGAACATCATTTAAATTACAGATCTTGTTTGAAGGTGTAAAAGGAGCTGGCATCACAAGTGACATGGCAGTCGATGACATTTCTTTAACGTCTGGTTCTTGCAGTAAGTTTGTTCTTAAATTTCATTATTATATTCTTATGTCTTATTTCTTGTGTCTATGAGTCTTTTAAAGAAGAATATTTTAAAGAATATACAACAAAGCTATCAGTTGATGTAAATTAAAGCACATTAAAGACAAATCTAATTCACTTTTCCTTGAACTGCTTACCCTGTATGGGATGTGCAGGCTTTTGTATGAACAACTGCAACGATGAAACACTGTGATCAGAAGCCTTTTCATCACAATTGATAAATAGGTTTTTAATGGCTTACAACAGATTTTTTTTAATGCAATGTTACTTTTAGCCAATTCAGCGAAGTACTGATGACTTTATTTGACATACCCCTTCAGCTTGTGGACCTGACCAGTTCCAGTGTAACAATTCGCAGTGTGTACCTCTCTCAGCGAAGTGTAACGGCCATTATGACTGTTTTGATCGGAGCGACGAAGCAAACTGCAGTAAGTTAATACAAGTACAAACACGTGATAAGTGAATCTTTCTTTGAAAGCTTTCATACATTAATGATAACCTAAAAGACGTCTTCTAATCGTGGTATTTGGTCAACCTTTTCTAGATGCCCGGGCTATCTTAGATTAGTCTGTCACGTCACATTTACAGTAAAAAATCTGGTAAATAGACATACATACGTCTTTCATCAGCTCACGCCCTTGAAGTCGCATGTGACTTCGATGAGGATCCTTGTAACTCTAAGACAACTGCTGTGGGACGTTTTCGGTGGCTTCGAAACTCGGGTAGTACCCCAGCCTATGGATCAGGACCATCACGAGACCATACAGATGGATCTGGTATGTCAACGATGTTTAAAACTATTTCCGTCTGTAACTTTTCTAAAGATCTTTTGCTTACAGTATTTTTTTTGCCTTCATCTCATTACATATAAAGTTTATTCGCAAAATCATGCCCGAAGGCTAATTGCTTTTACAATCAAGTATAATACTCACAGTTACACAGTAACAGGAGACAAGTAACAACTGTCTGGGAAAAAACTTCTACTTCTACTACTACGCTAGCTATTGTGGGGTTCGACTTCTTCTTTTAAATTAGACAGTTTATTGCAAATACTTGCCCGAGGGCTAATTGCAGTTACAAACAACATAAGAAAGAGAATACAATGGAGTGTGAATCTATATCTACGTCTAACACTATAATCTGTTCTACAATATAAATGGTACCAACTTTTACTGGGTTTGACTTCTTCTTTGTAGGCAATGGAAGACGAATTTACCCACTTCTTCTATAATATGTGGGTTCTTTGATTTTAGTAGTAATTGTTTTTCGTGGTAGGAATGGTGGGGAAGTACTTGAGCTATTTTGGATACGGTGGTAAATAATTGTTTTCTAATGTCGTCGTAAAATGGACAATTCGAGATGAAATGGATTTCGTCTTCCACTGCATTTAAGGAACAATGTTTACAGATTCTCTCCGACACCGGTAGTTTCGTATATCGCCCTTTTTCGATTTCCAAGGAGTGGGCACTGGTTCTAATTTTACTAATAGCGGAGCGCTGCTCGAAATCACAAAGGATGATATGTTTACATAGATTTTAGCCAGCGTAAATCAGAGTATGTTGCTACTTGTGATTGTGTGTCAACTTTGTTTTTAACTTTCAGGGTTTTATATGTACACGGATTCTAGATATGGTTCTTACAGTGCCTTTGCCAGTTTGACGTTCCCCATTATCCGCTCTGCCGGTCAGCACTGCCTGCAGTGGTTCTACCACATGTACAGTGCATCTCGATATAGAATGGGAACACTGAACGTCTATGTCTCCCAACCTGAGTACGCTGACATGTTGGTATGGACAAGGTCTGGAAGCCATGGGAATCAGTGGCTATCAGCTTCCTTTCCCATTTTGCCAAATGACACTGTATTTCAGGTATTTTAAATTTTACTTGTTTTATTTGTTTTCAAAACTAAAAACTTACTACCCATAGTAGCAAATCTCCTTGCTGTAAGAGTTTAGGTACAAACTATTATTGTTCCAGTTCTGTAATGGATGTTTCAGTGTAAGAAACAAAACGTTAAACGTTATGAATTTACTTCATACAAAGTTACATGAACTTTTGATTCCGTCCCACAGATTCGCTTTGAAGGCGTAACACGATGGAGTTATTACAGTGACATGGCGATCGATGACGTTTCTGTAACACCGGGCTCCTGCCGTAAGACTTCTTTACACTTCTCAACGCATTGTTTTTTGGTTGGATAATACCATGGGCGAATATGTTTTTCTTAATTTGCATGCTTTTCCATTTTTAATAGGTTTTAAAAATCCTTTATTCTTTTAGACTAATATTTAAGAAGAACATGTAGGGGATTTTTCTTCAAATGATGCCAAAAAGTAAGATTATATAATAGGAATGAGTTTTTAACATAAAGTGCCATCTCTCACAGACGTGCGACGCCAAAACTCCCTCTTTGTAGACCGTGTAAAAATCGCGTAGCAGCGTACCTGTTTATGTTAATGTACCGTCTATAGGTTGCTCATGTCTTCATATCAGATGAATATTTTGTAGAATGTTTTGAACTTGTGTTTCACATAAAGAGATACACAAAACAGATCTGGTTTTATTTCATTTGCCTGAATTGAAATATGGATGAGGAATGTTCGCATAAAACCTTGTATACGTTAATGATAATTGTACTTATACATGCCTACAGCTTGTCGGCCTGGCGAATTCCGATGCAGCAACGAACAATGTGTTCCGCTGTCTGAGAAGTGCAATGGTCATCCTAACTGTCTAGATTGGAGCGACGAGACTAATTGCAGTAAGTATGTTTAAACAAGTACAAATGACTGATCGAAGCATGTACTCACATTGGTGTTGACATTGATAGATGTAAATAAAGGCTTTAAGGCCTTCGCGGACTGGGAGGGGTCATGGCAATTGGCTTAGATATCATCGTGGGTCACATTTACCTAACGAATTCATTCGTATTCATTTCGTCGGCTTATTTATCTACATTTTTGAATCAATATACTCATGCTGTGAGGCTTATTTTCTACATAAAACTGTAAAATGATCTTAAATCAACCGCTTTTAAATCAACCGCTTTTTAATAATGGAAAATTTTTATAATTTAGATGTCGTATTCCATTGAACATAATACGAGCCCTTTTCTGCAAGGTATTAGTCATTATGGTCGACATAAGCTTTTAATAATTAACTATTTTTTCTACAGCAATCGACCCTATCGTATGGGAGCCATTTAACTTCACTTACGACGACAGTTGCACAAGCTGTACCGGTGAGCGTTTCGTAAGGAAAAGCAACTACACCTACGGCGGTCGGATCCTCCATGTCGGTGTTGTTTTGTGCTCGCCGACTCAGTACAAGATATTTCTGAGTGACAGCCTGAACGGGACGTTCCTGAACATTGCCGATGGTGCAGGACACGGTCAGGACCACTGTGAGCTTGTTGGAGCTTCATCAGATCCTCCGTCCTCGTCAATGGATCCAGATTATCGCACCTGCAGTGGAACAGGTAAGCTCGACTATGCGAGCCTTGAGGCGGTAGCGTTTTACCGAGATCTATTGCTCGGGTGGCCATACCCATTCGACTGTTCAAAGATGTAGAGCTTACCGCACACTATAGGGTAGACGGTTTACCAAATTTTAACCTAGGTTCTAGCAAAACACATAAGAGCCAGTATTAAATTGTTGCTCAATTGTTGATCTTTTTGGTCAGAAGTTACAAATTGGCTATTTGAAGTAAAAAAGTATGACGTAAATTAAATTGCAATGTTAGACATGAAATTAGCAATTATAATGATTTGAACATCTATCTACCAAAAGGCTTTCGAATTATCTACACAATACTTGTATTTGGATAATATGCTTAACAACTGTTACATGCAATGCCTATTCAGTAAGAATGCCATTAGATGCAGGATATAATTGGTCTTGCAATGATCTTGGTGATTATAGGATGCCTTGTTCTTTCATTCTTATAGACAAGTGGTAGCTGGTTCTTAGCTTAATCAGTAGAAGTAAAACAAACATATTACATAGTACACTTAATCAATTTTGTAATTTGCCATCTAAAAACATTGTCTTAGGTTATTGGCGGTATCGTCGTGAAGACAATTTCACCATTGGAGACATCGGTTATGGATCGGAAAACAGCATCACGTGGTATGGACGCTGGTACGAGTGCGGTGTTACAATACCTGAAGGTATGTTGATATTGCTTTTTTTAACCGACAATGTTATCATTGGCTTAAGTAGCATCTAGTTCTACCGACATGCATGCAAAATTTTAACCATAGAAATAATATCTGATTTGAGTATTGCTTGTCTTGATTCTTACGTAGACCGAGACGAGGATGGCTGGAGTTGTAACTTCAATACAGATCAGTGTAACTCCATGGTGACTAGTACAGATGGTCAAGGAGGTTTTCGGTGGATTCGGTCAACTAACGATACCGATGGATATGGTATGACATGGATATATGTTAGGGTAACGAATTTTAGATGGTAGGTACGAGTAGCTTTAGCAATCGAGAAGAAGTAACATAGGTTTGGGCCCCTATTTTCAGATATTGAAAATGGAAAAAATGAAATTTCAAAATGGTAACTGCCTGAAATTTCCTACAGCGTTAAGTAAAGGTTAACATTATTAGCCATAGCATACAAATCAGGACCTTGTTTCTATATTGGAGAGGAAATGTTATAATAGATTTCTTTGCTACAATGACTTACACTGGATATGATCAACTGATATAATCGATTAAAATGCGTATGTTGCTGGCTTTTTCAATTTTTTTACTTCTTCCAGGTATCCGACTTGTTGGCGGAAGTTCCTCCAATGAAGGCAGAGTTGAGGTGTTCTATAACGGACAATGGGGGACCGTCTGTGACGATTCTTGGGGGCTGAATGATGCTCACGTGGTCTGTCGTCAGCTGGGATACACCGGTGCTACAGCAGCTCGTGGGTCAGCAGCCTTCGGTCGGGGGTCTGGGCCGATCTGGCTGGACGATGTGGACTGCAGTGGTTCCGAGACAACCATTTCAGACTGTAGACACAGAGGATGGGGATCACACAACTGTGGGCACTATGAAGATGCAGGAGTTGTTTGTGAACGTGGTATGTCCAACGATTAACGTATATATCTCTGATGGCAATGTTATCCACTTTAAAACGCTGAACGTTGATTCGTGGTGTTGTACGGCAAGGTTTATTTAAAATTCAACTTAAATTTTATTACTGGAGATGTACGCATCTGAAAGAATGGACGTCAGGATAACCCGGGGATGGCTATCACAGTCGATTTAGCTAGTTTCAGCTTCACTTTAACTCTACATATTTGTTGCAGTTAAGGATGACCTATTTTTGATTCTTTTTGTCATACGTCTTGCCTGATGTCTAATGTGTGATATAAATGGGTCTTCATTGCAGTTGGTACATTTGTATGGCGTTGCGATGTTTGGCCAGAATAAAGGACTCAACAAATACTACAAAGCTACTTTAAGTACAATAGTACAGGGGCATATGCAAAATTTCACAGCCTCTGTCGTATTACTTAGCATGTTCAAATATGGTGGCGCCCATCTCCGTTTCGTAGCCATTGGGCCACACAGTCGTACAATCACTAAAAGAGGAGCTAGTCCACTGGTGTTTATGTGTGTTTAACCCCCATACACTTCTCAAATGCTGAGTACTAAGCAGAAAAAGTAGTATGCACCATTTTGAAAGGCTTTGTATGACTTGGCCTCGGCTTGAACGTACGGCCTACCGAATGGAAAGCGAGCACTGTACCCACTTGGACATTGTACCGGCCAGCGATACCACTAGGACTGCCATAAAAGCAGAAAACAACTTTTCCTTTTGTACTATGTTCATGAATTCAACAACCGGTGCCATACGTTGTACCGTTGTGCAATGCAATAATGAAGTTTAATGAGCTTTCGTTCGCCCCATTCCCTGGCCACTTTTGACGCTGACAATTAATACTTACGTCACATTATGTCACTTTTCATCAACTGTATGGACTGTATAAATCATGACTTTTCAACGCATATGGTTAAAATGACAGTGTGGTTCCCTGCTTATTCATTAGAACTTAATCGGATACATGCTTCCTTTCACAGCTGTCGCCCAGTCGATTCCACCTGGACAAGGTAACTGTTTTAATGCTTCATACATTCATACAATGCTGCTACTTAGCGGCAAAAACTACCAACAGGCAATTTCAATCTCAGTACATGCATTGAAGTACTGTTAGACCTAAAGCTTAAGTGGCGTCCGTTTGGGTGTTCGTCTTCGTTCTGTGACAGTTCATCATGTTATGCATGCCTAAGATGTTATATGATAGGTATCGGCGATTCTAGACATCCAGTTTTAAGAGCCCGATCGCAGATCTGTACATTTAAGACATTCGTTTAAAATAGTTGTACTTACGCATGTGGAATGTTAATTTAGTCAGATATCAGACATACATGAAAGTGACTTTCTAATTGTTTTGTGTTGTTAAAACATGGTTTTCTCTTATTTTATTTGTAGGATTTTATATGCTAGCGCATGGCAGTTTTGGATCTTCTGATGCATCTGCCAGTTTGAAGTTGCCTATCATAACCTCCGACGGTCAGCACTGCCTGCGGTGGTCCTATTACATGTACGGATCTGACATGGGAACACTGAACGTCTTTGTCTCACAACCTCAGTATTCTGATATGTTAGTGTGGACAAGGTCTGGAAACCAAGGAAACCAGTTGCTGTCAGCTTCAACCTCATTTTTCACCAATACTACTGTATTTCAGGTGAATGATAGTTACAGTAATATGATAAAGGCCTGACAACTAAGGGAAAATGATTTAATTATTGCGATTGTCTCTGTACATGTTGTAGATTTCCATTAGTTTAAACAGATATGCAAGTTAATATTATTGGCCATCAGTTATTAATGTCCAATATATATGTAAATGTTAGAGGATATTCATAATGGAATACGTATAAGATACATTTGAAACAATGCTTTATTCTGTATGCATATATGAACATATTGTATTACAGATTGGGTTTGAAGCTGTGAAAGGTCCTGGTGACGACAGTGACATGGCGATTGATGACATTTCTATAAGATCTGGTCCCTGCAGTAAGCACATTTTTGTTGTTTCGTCATATTCTTTGCTTTCTATTCATCTATCTATCTATACATGGATATCAACAAATTTACTGAATGAAGTGTAAGAGAGTGACCTAAAGCTGTGTCAACTTCAGCTGAATCAATTGAATCACCTTTATGGGTCACACGTTTGTAGTCAGAAGGTTACAAATCTGCAATTGCAGAAGGAAACTTATTTTGTCGTTGTAACTGTATCTCCTGTAGCTTCAGCTAACTGTTCTGATGACCAGTTTGCCTGCTGGGACGGAAGTTGTATTCCCACAAACCTGACGTGTGATGGTAATTCTGACTGCCGTGATGGGAGTGACGAGGTGTTTTGTGATCTTGCGCCAAGTAAGTGATTAGATTATGGTCAGTGTAGTTTTACATTGATTGAGATGTTGCTGTAAGATGCCAGAGATGTTCCGAAATGGTCAACAAATTCAATAGTTTTTCAAAAGAATTATTTGGGCCATTATAACATTTCCATTACCCTTACGGCAATTAATTAACCAGCCTTCCAAAGGCCTGCTTTCAAATATATATTGAATCAAACTTTCAGTACCTTTTCCTTCCATGCGTTAATATAGCTGAATATAAGGCGATATATGAAATATATTGTAATAAACCATCGCATCTTAGTCGTATACTATCAAACGTTGCAGCCATTTTAAGAGACTGTACCCAAACCACGTTGCTTCAATGTTGCTAAATAGCCTTATTGTTATCAAGAACGGCTACCATATTGCGTATGAGTTTTATTACAGAATTGAACACTAATATACTGAACCTCTGCAGTAACAGCACCTGTTGTGAATTGTGGTAATCCTGCTGTACTGAGTGGAAACATCGGTAGCTTTACATCACCAGGCTACCCTAACAACTACCCTAACAACGCCTTGTGTTCCTGGCAGATATCTGTCAATACCAGCGAGGTGATTGCTATTCGGTAAGACGCTGCTGTTTAGTTCTATAAATGGGATACGGTACAAAACGCAAAGGATCCAATAAAGCTGTAATAGAGTCGAATAAATTGTTTTGGGGACTAATGAATTTGTTCATTTTACGATCCAGTGGCGGTAAGCTGTGTCCATAAGCTTTTGTCGTTCTATTTAAAGTTGACTGTGCTTTTTAATGTTTTTCTAGATAGATATCCTATCTTATGTTTGATTGAACATGTACGCTATGTAGTACTTTACTTACCTGTAGGCATCCTTATATCTTAATTAAATGTACTTTTTACTTTATATATTATATAAATAATATATATCGTTCTTTACCCTTTATACTATGAAAATACACGTCATATTAAAATTTAAAAGTTCTCAACTGTTTCTCCACAGTTTTAATGTCTCTGACATACATAGCTGCCTTGTCACCATATATGATGGATCGAGCACAGCAGCGCGTCGATTGGACACTCTTTGCGGTTCATACAGCCGAACAATCTTCACAACCGGCCGGAACGCCTTTGTGGTATTCCGTACGGGTACGGGCGGATCGGAGACAAGATCCGGTTTTGCCGCCACGTTTGCCGCCGAGAGAAGACGTAAGATCGAGAACATGTTTGCCTATACGAAAAAAAAAAACTTCTTGATACAATGAAACAGTCATTGCCAGTACGTAACGTATTGATTTTAAGGACATTTTGAAGTCGATTTGGCTAGCCAAGGAATTGCCTTTTGCACTTACTTCTGGCTTGGCAAGAATATAAGTACACACACACACACACACACACACACACACACACACACACACACACACAACAACACAACAACACAACAACACACACACAACAACAT